GCGCGCCTGGGATGTGAACCCAGGCCGCCAGCAGCGGAGGGTGCGCACTTAACCGCTAAGCCACGGGGCCGGCCCATGGAAGTGGTCTTTAAATTATTGTTGTTATTCTTGAGTCTTTCAATTCTAACTTTGTAAAGAGAGAGTTTTTTTCTGTTGAATATGTCCTTAGAATATTTTCTTCAGGAGTGAGACCTATAGTTATGGGGTTTGGCTACTCTAACCTGTGATATGGCTTGTCTCTGTTTCTTCCCACTGGACCATGTACAGTGTTTCACAATGAGTCAAAGAAAGAACATGCCCATTTCCAGAATGCACGGTGCTGGGTGCTTCATATATGTTATGTCAGGGAATGCTGACTGACATGAATGAAAGAGAATATCCCTGGGGTGTGGAGTGGGGAGGTCGGCGGGTAAAGTTGAACATATGTGTATCCTATGATCCAGTGATTCCACTCCTAGATATACACCCAAGAGAAATGCTGACATGTGTTCGCAAGAATACATGTACAAGAATATATATAGCAACTCTATTTGTAATAGCCCCAGACTGGAAACTACCCAAATATCCATCAACAGTAAAACGGATAAATTGTATATCCACACACTGGAATATTGCACATCAAGGAGTATGAAGGATCTACAATAACACACAGCAATGTGGATGAATCTTCTACACAGAATCCAAAGACCAAACACAAAAACATACTGTGTATTTTCATTCATATAAAGCACAAAAACTAACCTTTGCTTCTACAATCTAGGCTAATGGTTACGCTGGGAGGGGCCACGCAAGGAGCTTCTAGAGTGCTGGTAATGTTCTAGTTCTTGATCTGGGTGCTGGTGACCTGGGTGGGTTCAGTTTGTGAAAATTCAGCAAGGTGCACACTTTTGATATGAATATATTTTTGTGTGTATGTTAAGCCCCTATTTAAAAAAAAAAACCAACCAACTACCTGATTGGGCAAAATCTAAAAGGAAGCTTACCACCATGTTAATTGGGGTGGTGTCTAGGTGATGAGACTCTGCCTGGAGTTTCCCTTCCCTCCCTGTATGCTCCTAATTTACTACAATTCATTCATCCAATAAGTATTTATGGAATGTCTACTATGTACGAGGCACTCTTCTATTCAGCTCTGCTGGGTATACAAGAGCAAACAAGATGGAAGAACTCTCTGCACTTGATTAGCTTACATTCTAGAAGGGGGGATGGACAATAAATAATAAACATGTAAATGATGTCAAACGGTAATAATTGCTATGGAGAAAAGGAACTCAGGAAGAGGGAGATGGAAAGTGCCGTGAGTGTGGTGCTATTTAATTATAAAGATAAAGAGAAATTTGAGCAGAAACCTTTTGGAAGTAAGGGAGCAAGCCACGCAGATATGGCTGGGGATGGAGAAAAAGGACTCCAGGGAGAGGGTACAGCAGCTGGAAAGGCACTGGGGTGGCAGCGTCCTTTATTGAAAGCTCAGAGAACATCAAGAGGGTCACAGTGCCAGTTACCAGTTTATCATGTCTCAGCTCCAAACGCAGCCTTCAGTGCCTGCTCTGTGGCTAGACTCAAAATATTTTTTTGTCAGCTGGCATGATGGTAAGGTTTGTCAGTAGAGGGCGCTGGAGAGACACTGCAGGAAGAGAGGGCTTCCTGCTCTGGTTCTTGTGTGCTCTCTGCGGCTGGCACAGCGTCCCCAGGGCCCGCTCCCACAGCCTGGGTGGTCTCTCAGCACCGGTGGCTTCTGCAGGGAAGACGGCTTCTTTAGCACCGGCTCCTGCACTGCACGGTGGCCATCAGCACCCAGTGGCCAGCTGCTTCCCCTGGTACCCGTCTTGGGCAGTTTTGTAACAGAGTGCCTCTGGGGATTTAACCTCACCCTGAATGGCTTTCTCTGGCATCCTAGAGGGCAAATATTTTCTTTTTGGCACTTATCACTAAATTTAATTATTTATTCATGAATTTGTTTACTTTTATTTCTCATTTTACTTTTTATACCTTTTAAAATGTTGTGATTGAATACCTGTGTCCAGCGGCTAGAAGGTAAGCCCTGTGAGTATAGGGAACTTGTAATGTCACTGCTCTGTCCTGAGTTGAACAGATTGCAGGGTGGTGGATGTGGAGATGCACTGTCCAGACCTTCCTTCAATGGAGGGCTTGTTGCCCCATCTGCTAGGAGCGCTGCCAGCAAATGACCCTCAGATGTCAGCTGCTTCGCGGTTGGCCCCAGCAGTGGAGAGTTATCTCGCCCAAAGTCACGCCCCTTCTGGGGTGAACCAGTGACAGATGCAGGCGTAGAAAGACCCAGCCATCTCAGCCCAACCCGGGACGACTCTGATGGACCATTCTGGCTCCAGAGCTGGCCGTGGGGTGGGCCCAGGCTGTCACCGGGCCTGCATCATGGTTCGATTCCTCCCTCTGCCCCCTCCTTTCTATGGGGGTTGATCTCCAGGTCACTCTTCGATCAACATCCTGCACCCTAAACCCCATCTCAGAGTCAGCTTCCTGGGAGACAGCCTGCGACAGCTGAGCTGGACGAAGACGGGCAGTTGGCATTTGCTGGAAGAATGAGGCGTCTGGGGCCGCCACAAGAGGAGACCATCTCGAATGACATACAGAGCCCCCTGCTGAAAGGAGTGTCCTTTGTACTGAGAGTGATAGATTCCCTCCTGTTCTGGTGGCAGGCGCTTAGCACAGTTCCTTCCACTCTCGGCAAAGGCATAAGAGGAGAAGTGAATGCACTTGAGTGGAGGAGAGGGCCCTGGTCTGATGCCAGGCTTTGATATTTAATCCTGGAGAACTGGGCTGTGAATGCAGACTCTCACAGCATGACAGAGCTAGAAGGATCCAGGGGTTCACCAGGCTTCTCAAATATTTCTGCCCAAGTACCTCAAAAGGAAAGGAAGGTGAGCTCAGACCCTGGTCCAGGAAGACAGGTTGTGTTTACCCGGTGACATCAATATGCCAAGTGGGTGTGTGGCCCGCATTGGAGAAGCTCAGATCTTGATGAGAAGTTCAAAGCCAAGACTTGAGCCCTATCTGGGGTCTGATTGAGGTCAGGACTCGGAATGAGGCTGGATCAGGGCTCAGTGTGGGGTCAGAGGACAGTCTAGGGTTAGAGTTCTGTTTGGGATCAGGGCTCAGCCCAGGTTCAGGACTCAATGAGAGATCAGGATTGGAGTTCAGTCTGGGGTCGGGACTGTCTGAGTCTGGATCAGGGCTCAGCATGGACTCAGAGCTCAGCCTAGAGCCAGGGTCAAGTCACGCTTTAGCTGTGGTAGGAGCCAGGACTTAGCGTGAGGCCAAGGTTTAGGGCTCTTTCTAGCATCAGGGTCATGACCCAGTCTGGCCAATCATGGCTCTGAGTACTGGCTTTATCTGGGGTCACAAGCACAAGCCGGAAACTCATCTGAGTTTCTGCCTGGGGCCTGCTCGGTCTTGGCCTCGGCCCAGGTTCGGGCTTGATCCCAGGCTGGGAGGCAGCCTGGTGTCAGCTCTCAGCCCTAGAGCAAGCAGCTGAGTCAGCACGTTGTTCTGCAGCAGGATCAGCAAACCACAACCTGGGGGCCAAACCCGGCCTGCCGCCTGTTTTTGTAAATAAAGTTTTATTTGCAACACATCCACGCTCATTTGCTTACCCATCATCTGCTCCCATGCTATAAAAGCTGAGTGGAGGAGTTGGAACACAGACCGTACAGCCTGCAAAACCTGAAATATTGACTCTCTGGGCCTCGACCGTAAAAGTTTGCCAGTCCTTCTTCTAAAGGCCCGGAGGCCCCTCTGGCATGTGACAGCCCAGATTGCTGAACTAGCTCAGTGTCAAAAGCCTCCGTGAAGGTCACAGTGGTGTTTAAGAGACCAAGGGGACTCAAAAGAAGCAGGGGAGGCCTGAGTCTGAGGTAGAGCCCTGTTGCTGGCGTCCTTCTGGGTCTGCATGGCCAGCCAACTCTAAGGCTTTGCTCAGTCGTGAATACTGTTCTGCCATTCCTTTGTGGAGGGCATTGTTAGCATGTTGCCAGAGCAATGGGAAGGTAATCCTACCTGTATCTTTTTCTTTGCAGCTTCCAAAGCCACATTTCCATCCACGCTCTGCTTTGTGCTGTCTTCTCTCAGTGTCCCCACTTCTCCCATCCCCAACCACGGTGCTCTCATTGGCTGTAGGGTGGCCTCTGCTTTCAGCAGCGGCTGGGAGAAGCTGTGGGGTGAGTTTTGTTCCAGAGAAGTGCCACCTCAGCTTAGCTGAGCGGCGCCAGGGGCGAGGGGGTTGAAGGGGAGACAGAACTACCTGGCAGGTGGCCCTCGTCACCTCCAGCTACTTTCCCTTCGTCAAACACACGCACACGCTGGCAGGCCATTCTAGCTCCGGAGCTGAGCGTGGGGTGGGCCCAGGCTGCCACTGGGCCTGCATCATAGTTCGATTCCTCCCTCTGCCCCCTCCTGCTGCCTCCCCCTCCCTTCCACCGGTGTTGATCCTCAGGTCATTCATTCCTTGGTAAATGTCCTGCACCCAAAACCCCATCTCAGAGTCAGCTTCCTGGGAGGCTCAACCGGAGACAGCCGAGCTTGAGGAAGACAGGCAGCTGGCATTTGCTGGAAGAATGAGATGTCCGGGGCCACTGCAAGGGGAGACCTAGTAGTCTCCCTCCTGAAAGGAGCATCCCTTTTACTAAGAGTGGGAGATCTCTCACCTGCTGTTGTCTTCGGCCCTCAGTGCTCCTTCTGCTCCTCAGCCCTGAGCATCCAAAACCTAAGTTTGGACGGGGGGTCCTGGAGCCAAGGCAGCCCAAGGGCCTCAGTCATTCAATGCATCCAGTCATCTGGGTTCTCCAAGCTGTCCCCATGCTGTGTAGAATCACCAGAGAAGTGCCTTCACTGAGGCCTTGGTCACAAGGATCATCCAACAAAGACTGTGTGTGTGTTTGTCTGACCCCCTTTTCACAAGACCCACTACATATGTTGTTCCCACTCCAGTTTGTACCCAGGAGGCATCTCACTGCAGATGAGCCTGGTTTGTTGTTGTTCAGATTACTTCAATTACACGATTAGTCACAATTCCTTTGGCTATCTAGAACACTTCTGAGCTGATTTCCATGTCCAGCGCAGTTATCTGCAGGGCCTGGTGGTCTCCACTCTGGTCCTCATCCCAAAGGTCTCTGCCCTGTTTTGATGCTAAGGATGCGACTGTGTGTAGTGTAAGCTGCTGGGGATGTTTTGCAGACTCAACACTGTTCTGGTTCCAAAGAAGTCACTCAACACTGGGCTGGTCGTATGAGATCCCTGATGACCACAACTAGACCAGATTTGGGGCTGCATCGCCAGATGCAATCCAGTCTTGATGGCTCCTCCTCTATCTTCAGCTTCTTCCAGGCAGCAGAAGCCCCTCAGAGGCTGGGCCTGTGTCTTCACTGAGGGAAAATTGCCCATTGCTTCAAATCTAATGATTTTCAGGAACATGACTTTGAGTAGAACTCAGATGGTGTAAACGGTATGCACACAGGCCCCAGTTCTTCCTCCAGCTCGCCTGGTGGCCTCGGGCAAGGCTCTTCCCTCTGTGTAAAATGGGAGTGCTGAGGAGGCCTAGGTGTCAGCTCTAACACTTTGGGGTTCTCTCTCAGAGCTCAGGGAGAAGGTTCTTGGGTATGGATATGGTCAGAGCATTGAAGAGCTGAGAGAGAAGCAAGGAAAGCCCAGGGGTCAGCTGGGGTGATGGTGAACTGGCCGGGCAGGAGGTGGCCGAGCTGGGTGGGCCAGGGTTACTGTGATGCTTGGTCCATCAGCCTCCTAGCAATGAGGGTGATAGATGATGGTGGTAGAGGCTCCCTATATCATCCATCATTGTCCAGAGGTTTAAGGATTACTGAGTCTAACACTTCATTTTACAGATGGGGAAACTGAGGCCCAGGAAAGGAAGGGACTTCCCCAAGTTCACACAGTGGGGCAGAAGCTGAAGCAGAACTGGAACCCAGGCCTCCTGGCTTCCACACGGGAGGGGCAAGGGGGTGGACAGGAGGGGAAGAGGGGCCATCTCCTCCCCTCACAGCCCCTCATGACCTATGACTTGGCCTTGGCCACGTGGATGATCACAAAGCCTTTGATGTCCGGGAAACGGGGGCTGACGAGGTCCACCTGCAGTTGCCTTGGGCCGCTCTTGGAGGGGGTGATGTTGAACTGGACCGAGGCCCTCTCCTGGGGCTCCAGGCTGGGCACACTGGGGAAAGAGGATGGGAAAAAGGCAGACCATTAGCCCTCTCTCCTTCCTGAGCCTGGCCTGCCAGTCCATGGCTCTCCAGAGCCCTCAGGATCAAGGTCACACCTTGTGGCTTGACATTCAAGCCTTGTTAATACGCTTCTAGCTTAATCTTCCTTCCACCACTTCTCACTCTTTCCAACCCGCCAGGCTAGTCTCCTCTCTGTTTCCTGAACATACCTCACACTTCCTCACTCTGAGGTTTTGTCTGCACTGTTCCTCCCACCTAGGATGCCCTTCCCATTCCAACCATACCCAAGGCCCAGATGAAGTTTCTCTTCTTCCAGGATACCTTCCGTGACTACCAGCCATGGAGACCTCTGACTAGGAAGCCTTCCATCCTCCTTTATACTGGAAAAGCTTCTCAATTCATCATTTAAAGCCCAGATCAAATATCAGCTCCACTGGGGCTTCTCCCTGGTCACACCCTACTCCCACTCCCACAGGCTGCCTCTGACCCCCTGGACCTTGGGGATCCATCCCTCTGTTTGCACAAATCACACTGTCCTCATTTGAAGGGCCATCTGTCTATGAGAGCCCTTCTCCAGATCCAGAACCCGATTTGTTCATCTTGGTGTTCCTAACAGTTGATGTGTGTGGCTTAGAGCACAGTCAGTGTGATCAAGGACCATGTGAGTGAGTGAGTGAGTGAATGAAAGAATGAATGAGTGAGTGAATTATTGAGAATGAGTAAGTAAATAAATGAGTAAGAATGAATGGAACATGTACGAATGAGTGAATGAATAGCTAAATGAGTGACCAAATTAAAGAAGGAATGAATGAGTGAGTGAATCAGTCAAAACTGAGTTGAGCCGATGAATGAATAAGTGACTGAATGAGTAAAAACATGAATAAAGAGTGAGTGAATGAATGAGTGAAAGAGAGCAGATGAATAAGAGTGAGTAAATGAATAAGTAAATAGATAAATGAGTGAAAATATAAATGAATGATATGAGTGGATGAGTTATATGACTAAGTTAATGATTAAGTAAATGAAGGAATGAATAAATGAATGAAGGCTGATATGTCTAAGCAGTGGGCTGGTTCCTGGGGGTCCAGAGTCTCTCCCGCACCCCCATGCCAACAGCTTCTCTATGGCTCATATTATAAGGAAGGCAGCCCCTCACTCACCACCACTAGACTGGCACTTACGCGATGCTGAGCTGTCCCTGGAGAAGGCCACTGCCCTCCACCATCAGCACACAGTCCTCCACTCTCTCCAAGAGGGGATTGACCACCATCACTTCCACCACAACTGCTTCCCCTACCACGGCCGGGCCCAGCACCTGGAGGGGCAACACCCATAAGTCATCCCTTCTCTTCCCCATTCCCCCAGGAAACCCGTGGTCCTGGCTGGGTCAGAGGATAGGGCATTAATCATGTCTACCTCCTGCTTCCACGTACCTCGTTACTGATCTCCGGCATCACGCCCATCCCCCCGCATCCACACCACTCCTCCCCACCCTAGAGAGCTGAAGTTGGAGCTAAAAGCACAAAACCCCCAGCTTCTGATGTCCCCCCCTCAGCTCTGAAGGGGCCTGCTAGGTATGGCGGGTGGATGCGAACAGGAGTCACCTTGATGGTGATGAAGTCCTCCAGAGTAATGTCCTTCTCCACCAGGAGCTTCTCTCCTTTGGTGACAAGGCACATGGCAGCCAACAGGATCTTCTTGTCCTCTGTCAGCTCTTCCTTATATTGAGAGTAAGATATTGTGACTGGGATCTTTTTCTCTGGAGGGGAAAGCAGATATGGGAATTGGGGGTCTGATTTTTTTTTGTCAGTACCTAGAAGGAGGAAAGGAAGACTCAATTCATAGTTATACTCTCTCTGGTCCTTACAATCAAACTGAGACAGGAATTGTTATCATCAGTTCACAGATGAAGAAACCTAAGGCTCAGAGAAGGTAATTTCTTTCCTGATGTCACATACCTAGTAAATCAAGTAGCCAAGATGAGGTGGGATTCAAATTCAGGCCAGTCAGCTACCATGACACCAGATTGTCTCTCCAAGAGCTCCTGGAGACGTGTTTAAACTTTCTCTAATCATTCCAGATGGAAATCTCTCAGTCCATCAACCATTCATCTCATCAGGAATTCACTCACTATTTATTGAGCACCTAACTAGTACTAGGTGCAGAGAAGAGGGAGGCCAAAGGTCTGCCTCAAGCTTCCAATCAAGTGAGGAGGCCATCTTTCTCGCAGTTTCTCCAAATCCTCCCACCCTGTTAAGGCCCAGTCCTAATCAGCCCCACCAACGGTGAAAAACCTTCACTAATATCCCCACCCAGTGACCTTGTGCTCTCTGCCTTCTGAGCTCCTGTGATCCTGGCCACCTCTCTCTCTCTCATCAGCCACGAACACCCTACGTACGTATTCTCTTCTTGTGAGCAGGAGTCACCACAGGCCACATCTGACTGTCAGTCATATTTGGGTTTTTTTTGACCACCATATATTTTTTTCTTTTAGGTACAACATGTCCTTTCCACTTTGTCCCTGGCCCTACCATTTGCTACTGCTCTAGCACCACTACTTCTTTTATTTCTGTTTCCTTCCTGTCCATGAAGGCATCTGAGTTTTCAACCTGTGGAAATGGTCCTTAAAGGGCTTGAACTTGGCTCACACATTCTGTTCCCCCAGAGGCTGCATACTGTAAATGCTTCCTGAATGCCTGTAGGATGATCCTTGTGCCAAGGTTCTACCTTGTTTTATGGGTTCCCTTAGTCCAGTAGGTCATTACTGGGAGAACACTTACTATAATAATAATGATAATTAATAATTATAAAAGCTAAATTTTACTGAGGGATAAAAATGTGCTGAATACTTGGAAGCACATTCATGGATTAACTCATTTAATCCACACAACAATTCCATGAACAAGTATTATTATCCCCAACTTATAGTAATATCAATAATACTGACAATCACTACCATAAATTAGATGTTCATTGAGTAGTAGGAGTTATGCCAAATACTTTATGTATGTTATATCATTTACTCCTTGCTTGATGGTAGACCAGTGGTTCTCAAAATATGGTCCTGGGACCAGCAGCATCATCATCACCTGGAAACTTGTTAGAAATGCAAATTCTCAGGCTCCAGTGTGAAGAACCACCAGATGCCGCTAAAGATGCACGTGGACAGAGCTTTGAACATTAGTTCAGACCATGGAAGAAGGGTCCCTCTCCCCATGGGAGAAAGACTGTCCCTTACAATGTTCAGACCAAGGCATCTTGAAGTCCTCTGGGTGATGGATTCCACTGATAATCTTATAAAAGCTGAGTCCCTTTTCCTAGAACAGTGTTCTGAACAGCACTATCAATCACTGGATATAACTGATAACTGTAGAATACTCCATTCAACAACAGCGTAATACACATTCTTCTCAAGCTGACATGGGACATTCACCAAGATAGACCACATTCTGGGCCATGAGTAACACATTGCCAAATTTAAAAGAATAGAAATCACACAGTGTATGCTCTCAGATCACAATGGAATTAAACTAGATATTAGTAACAGAAAGATAGCCAAAAAATCCCCAAATACTTGGAGATTAAACCACACACTTCTACATAACACATGATCCAAAGAAGATGTCTCAAAAGAAATTTAAAAATATTTTGAACTAAATGAAAACACAACTTTTCAAAATTTGTGGGATGCAGCAAAAGCAGTGCATAGAGGGAAATTTATAGCATTGGATGCATATATTAGAAAATAAGAAAGATCTAAAATCAATCATCTAAGTTTCTACTTTAGGAAACTAGAAAAAGAAGTGCAATTAAATCCAAAGCAAGCAAAAGAAGAGAAATAAAATTAAAAAAATATTAGAGCAGAATCAATGAAATTGAAAACAAGAAATTGAAAGGGAAAATCAATGAAACAAAAACTGGTTCTATGAAAAGATCAATGAAACTGATAAGCCTCTAGCCAGGCTAAATGAGAAAAAAAGAGAGAATCACACAAATTACTAATATCAAAAATGAAAGAGGGGACATCGCTACAGATTGCATAGACATTAAAAAGATAATAATGAAACATCATAAACAACTCTACGGATAATAATGAAACATCATAAACAACTCTATGCCCACAAATTTGATAACATAGATGAAATAGACTGATTCCTCAAAATACACAATCTGCCAAAAGTCACAGAAGAAGTAGACAATATGAATAGGCTTATATCTATTAAATAAATTGAATCGATAATGAATAACCTTCCAAATACAGAAAGCATCAGGTCCAGTTGAGTTCACTGGTGAATTCTGCCAAGCATTTAAGAAAGAAATGGTACAATTCTCTACAATCTTTTCCAGAATATGGAAGCAGAGAGAATACTTCCTACCTCATTCTATGAGCCCTGCATTAATCTAATACCAAAACTAGACAAAGATATTACAGGAAAAGAAAACTACAGGCCAATATCTCTCATGACCATAGATGCAAAAATCCTGAACAAAATATTAGCAAATTGAATCCAACAATGTATAAAAAGGATTATACACCATGATCAAGTGGGATTTATCCTAGGTATGTAAGGTTGCTTCAACATTAAAAAATCAATTAATGTAACCCATACCATCAATAGGCTAAAGAATAAAAATCACATGATCACATCAATAGATGCAAAAAAAGCATTTGATAAAATCCAACAATTATTCATGATAAAAAATTGCAGAAAACTAGGGATAGAGGGGAACTTTCTCAACTTGATAAAGAGCATCTACAAAAAGTCTACAGTTAACAACACACTTTATGGTGAGAATCTCAAAGCTTTCCCACTAAGATCAGGAACAAGGTAAGAATGTCTTATCTCACCACTCCTTTTCAATATTGTACTGGAAGTCCTAGTTAAGGCAACAAGACAAGAAAAGGAAATAAAAGGTACACAGATTGGGAAGGAATAAATAAAACTGTCTTTGTTCACAGATGACATGATCATCTACATAGAAAATCTGAAAGAATCAACAACAAAAAATCATGGAACTAATAAGTGATTACAGCAAGGTCACAGGATATAAGATTAATATACAAAAGTCAATCACTTTCCTATATACCAGCAATGAACAAGTGGAATTTGAAATTAAAAACACAATACCATTTACATTTGAACCCCCAAAATGAAATACTTAGGCATTAATCTAACAAAATATGTACAAGAACTGTAGGAGAAAAACTACAAAAGAAATCAAAGAAGAACTAAATAAATGGAGAGATATTCCATGTACATGGATAGGAAGACTCAATATTATCAAGATGTCAGTTCTTCCCAACTTGATCTATATTCAAGGAAATCTCATCAAAATCCCAGCAAGTTATTTTACAGATATCAACAAACTGATTCTAAAGTTTATTTGGACAGGCAAAAGATCCAGAACACAATCATGAAGGAGGAGAACAATATCGGAGGACTGAGACTACCTCACTTCAAGACTTACTATGAAGCTACAGTAATCAAAACAATGTGGTCTTGGTGAATGAACAGACAAAAACATCGACAGAACAGAACAGAGAGCCCAGAAACAGACCCATACAAACATAGTCAACTGATCTTTGCCAAAGGAGCAAAGGAAATAAAACAAACAAAAGATATTCTTTTCAATAAATGGTGCTGGAATAACTGGACATCCAAATGCAAGTAAATAAACAAACAAAAAAACCAAATAAATAAATCTAGACACAGACCTTATACTCTTTACGAAAATGAACTCAAAGTGGATTATAAGCCCAAATGTAAACTGCAAAACTATAAAACTCCTAGAAGATAACATAGGAGAAAACCTAGATGATCCTAGGCATGGCAATGATTTTTTAGATACAACACCAGAGGCACAGTCCACGAAAGAAAAGATTGACAAGTTGGACTTCATTAAAATTAAAAACTTCTGGCCGGCCCCCTGGCCTAGTATTAAGTTTGGTGCACTCTGCTCTGGCAACTCAGGTTCGGTTCCCAGGGGTGGACCTACATCACTCATTGGTGGCCATGATGTGGCAGCAACCCACATACAAAATAGAGGAAGATTGGCACAGATGTTAGGATAGGGTGAATCTTCCTCAAGCAAAAAGAGGAAGATTGGCAACAGATGTTAGCTCAGGGCGAATCTTCCTCAGCAAAAAAATAAAAAAAAAAATTAAAAACTTATGCTCTGTGAAAGACACTGTAAAGAGATTGAGAAGACAAGCCACAAAGTGGGAGAAAATATTTGCAAGAGACCTATCTGATAAAGGACTTATCCAAAATATACAAAGAACTCTTAAAACTCAACAATAAGAAAATGAACAACTTGATTAAAAAATGGGCAAAAGACCTGAACAGACACCTCACCAAAGAAGATGTACAGATGCATACAAAAAGATGCTCAACATCATACATCATTAAGGAATTGCAAATTAAAACAATGAGATACTACTATACACCTAAGAGAACAGCAAAAATCCAAAATACTGACAAGGCCAAATGCTGGAGAGGATGTGGAGCAACAGGAACTCTCATTCACTGCTGGTGGGAATGCAAAATGGCACAGCCACTTTGGAAGACAGTTTGGCGGTTTCTTAGAAAACTAAACGTATTCTTATACTATCCAGTAATCATGCTCCTTGGTATTTACCCAAATGAGTTGAAAATGGTCCATACAAAAACCTGCACATGGATGTTTATAGTAGCTTTATTTACAACTGCCAAAACTTGGAAGTAACCAAGATGTCCTTCAGTAGGTGAATGGGTAAATAAGCTGTGGTACATTCATATAGTGGAATATCATACAGCACTAAAAACAAATGAGCTATCAAGCCATGAAAAAAAACATGGAGGAGTCTGAAGTCCATATTTCTAAGTGAAAGAAGCCAATCTGAAAAGGCTACATACTGTATGATTCCAAGTATTTGACATTCTCAAAAAGGCAAAACTACGGAGACAGTAAAAAGATTTGCAGTTGCCAGGGGTTCGAGGAGAGGCAGAGGAGCAAAGAGGTGAAAAACAGGAAATTTTAGGGCAATGAAACTATTCTGTATGATACTCCAATGGTGGACACATGTCATACATTTGTCAAAACCCATAGAATGTACAAGAGAGTGAACCCTAATGTAAACTATGGACTTTAGTTAAAAATAATGTACCAATATTAGCTCGCCAGCTGGAACAAATGCACCACACTAACGCAAGATGCTAATAGTAGGGGAAGATGGAAAGTGGTGAGGGAGTATATGGGAAGTCTCTGTACTTTTCACTCAGTTTTTTTGTAAACCTAAAACTGCTAAAAAAAATAGCCTATTAATTTTAAAAATGATAGATTTTAATAAATTATACATTTTAATAGCCATACCATTTGGCTCAGTAATTCCACTTCTGTGAATCTATTCTAACAAAACACTCCAAAATCCAGACAAAAAAATATTTTTTGCACCAAGATGTTTACTTTAGGGTTTTGTAAAATAGCAATAAGCTGATAACTATTTCAAATAAGGAAAAAGATAAAATAAATCACCATATATTTATTTAAAGATTCACATCTATTAAAAGAATGTTACTGAAGAGCTTATAAAAATATTTAATTTACATTGTAAAGTGAAAAAATCAGAGCACTAATGAGTATTTGCAATATAATTAGGACTATGTTTTTCAAAAAGCAAATAAGCATTAAAAATTTGGAAGGAAAATATGTTAATTTGTAGATGGGTGGCAGGATCGAAGGTGATCTTTCTCCTGTGCTCTCTAAATCTTTAATGAATATGTATTATCTTCAATACGAAAAAAAATTGCTAAAAGCCAGGAGAAAGTGCATGTTAATCATTTCATTACAAAGTGTTATTTTGTGATTTAGATTTTGTGAAAACCAAGTGACATCTCCTTCACATGTTTTCACGCCCTGTCAAGATACACAAGCTTCACTTACCAGAAACCGGCCCAGAGGAACAACTTCTTTGTTTAATTGAGTCCTTAGAGTTCAGAAGGTAGGTATGTGAAGAGAGAGAGAGAGACAGAGAGGAGCTGGAGGGGAGGGGAGATAGAGACAGAGAGACAGACAAAGACAAAGGGGGAAAGAGAGAGAGACAGAGAGGGAGGGAGAGGGAGAGTAGGAAAAGGCAGAAGAATAATCAAATGGGATACATTTAGTAAATCATATATGAAGTGCTACATATTTAAGGATCATGAAAAAAATCCTTGACATATTTTTTAAAAAATCAGTTGGAATAAAGTCACTTAAAATTATGCAAAAACCTTCAAAAGGACTGAAGCCATTCTATTTTGGTGAGAAATACTAAGGGTACATTTCAGGCAAATGTACCATTAGGCACATTAAGTGTAACTGGTGTGTCCTGACCCCACGGCCCACTCCAAGGCCCGTAATCAGGCAACTGAATCAGCTGAGTGAATGTGCCCAGGGGTCGAACATTCCTGGCTGTGAACCCTGGCTCTGTCCCTCCCCTGCTGTGGGCCGTTGGTCAGGAGTGTGTCTCTAAGGCCAGGCTGAGTCCTGCCACCACACACAATGCCTGTGTGACTTTGAGTTTCCTCCTCTGAGAAACTGAGCTACATTGTACTCCAAGAGGTGGTTGTGGGGACTCCGGCCGATGCAGGTAGAATTCTCAGGACCTGGCCTGGTACATGTAAGCACTTAATAAACATCCCTTACTGGTCCGTCCCTCCCTACAGAAAACCATATGGGCTCCAGAATTTGCTGGATTTTAGACAGGTAACACAAGGCATACTCCATATATTAGGAGATGCTCCCAGCAGGTGTTTATTCAGCATAGAAATATTCATACTAATTGGGATAAGTAGAGATTACAAATCACCTCACTGTCAGGTCAGTTTGCCACCAGATGACTATGGACTTTTATTACTATTCTCATTATTTAGCCCCTCTGAGCCTCAGTTTTCTTATCTGTAAAGTGGGGACAAGAGGCAAGACACCATGCAAACGCTCAGGAATATCCTCTTCTTTCCTGGGAATGAATATAGGGTCCTGGGAAGTCCGGTCCTGCTCCAACCCTCATGGGAAGGGGATTAGGCTGGCCAGGTCCCACCAAGCCTCGTGTTCTTACCTTCTTCCGGCCCCAGCCGCAATGTGTGGGATTCGTGCAGGATCTCTGCCACCCGCCTGCGGGTGCACCGCACCACTCAGGTTGACCTGGACCCGCTGGGCCCGGGAGGTGAGGTTGGCCAGGCACAGGGCCAGCCGCAGGTCGTGGCCCAGCTTGGGTGGCTCTAGCACCTTGAACTTGCCGGTGATGCTGAGCTTGGTGGCGGGTTCCAGGAGGTCATCACGCCAGAGACCTCGGCCGCCGGCCCTGTGGACTCCAGCCCTCCTCCCAGAGGCTTCCACGCTGAACAGCTTCTTCACGGCCTTGCTGTACACCTGCCTCTCCTTCCGGGACCCTGCAGGGCATCGGGCATTGTGAGGCAGGCACCCTCTTCCTCCTCTGCCTGTCCCAGGGCCCATCTCTTCTCATTTCCCCTCTTCTCTAGGCAAAACCACCACTCCTTCACCACTGTAATTTACTGCTGCTGTCGGAGGTCTCAAATTGGCAGCCCCAGAGCCACATGCAGACCTCAGCCATGTGCATCGTGTTTGGTTCTCAGACTATTTAAATAAATTTTCAATCAGTTGCCAACAACTTCAGATCAGGAAACTTCACATAACAATACAGATTTGTAGCTTCTCTGACAACTGGGTCTGAAGTCATATGATAATAGCTGATACTTTTGTAGACTTACTATGTGCCAGGCACTATAGTTCTAGGTGCTGTATTTTTCCCCCTAGGAGGTGGGTACTATTATCATCCCATTTTACAGACAAGGAACCCGAGGCGCAGAGAAGTAAAGCAGCTTGTAGGGAGCGGTGATTTAAACTCAGGCAGTCTGGCTCCAAATTCCATGTTCTTAATCACGCTCCCTTCCCACTCTCTACACAGCGACAAGGGTCTAGAGCTGAGTAATGGCTGCTCTCTCTGGGAGGGAATGTATTCTCTGGGTCTCCATGGTCTCTACCCTGTAATTCCCACTGGCCTGCTGCACTCATGGGGTGCCATCTGCAAGGCTCCTGTAAACATGTGAGCTTAGGACCCCTGATCTCCCACTTTCCCTGTTGTAGCTCAGACTTCTCTTTTGACCTCCAGACCAATACTTGCAACTGGATAGCCCCTCACCCCACCCGATGTCCCACAGGTGCCTCAGATCCAACGAAACATGCCATCTTCCACCCAGCAGCATTCCCAACTCCGCAAACAGCTCCACCATTCACCCAACGTACGCAAGCCAGAAACTGGGAGTGTCCTTGACTCTTCCCAAACCCTCACCACCCACAACTGATCAGTCACCAAGTCCTGCCGAGCATCCTCACCGATCTCTAGAATCTGCCTTCTTCTCCATTCTCTCTTCTCCCATCAGACCACTGTATAAATCGCCTCACCATCAGGTCAGTTCGCCACCAGATATTGTGGAATTTTCTTACTATTGTCATTACTTAGCCTCCTACGAGCCTCAGTTTTTCCATCTGTGAAGTGGGGACGAGAGGCTCACAGGTGGGGCATTGAGCACAATGCTCAAGAATGTCCTCTCCCTTCCTGGGAATGCAGGTTCCACCCCTGCTCCAGTCCTTTTTCCACCCTGATCATCCCCAAATCCAACTCTGATGGTTCCACCTCCCTGTTTGAAACCTGTGGTGTGCAATCTCCCACACTGCTCCTTCCCAAATATTTTCTGTGAAGTACTTCAATACTGTGTGACTGAGGCTTGAAGGGACCCACGTGGACCTGAAGGTTCTTTAACATTATTAGTAAAATGTGTGTGAATTTTGCACCCTACTCCATAATGTATTCATTATATATTTTTACTATGAAAATGTTTCACCAGGAACAAAATGAAAAGGCAACCCACCAACTGGGAGAAAATATTTGCAAATCATATATCCAAAAAGGGGTAATCTCCAAAATACATAAAGAACTCTTACAACTCAACAACAAAAAAACAAACAACCCAATCAAAAAATGAGCAAAGGATAGGAGCAGACATTTTTCCAAAGAAGATATACAGATGGGTCACTAGTCATCAGGGAAATACAAATCAAAACTACAATGAGATATCACCTTACACCTGTTAGAATGGCTATAATCACCAAGACAAAAAACAACAAATGTTTGAGAAGATGTGGAGAAAAGGGAACCCTCATACACTGCTGGTGGGAATGCAAACTGGTGCAGCCACTATGGAAAACAGTATGGAGATTTTTCAAAAAATTAAAAATAGAAATACCATGCGATCCACCTATCCCACTACTGGGTATCTATCCAACAAACTTGAAATCAACAGTTCAAAGAGACTTAACGCACCCCCATGTTCATTGCAGCATTATTCACAATAGCCAAGACATGGAAGCAACCCAAGTGCCCACCAACTGATGAATGGATAAAGAAGATGTGGTGTATATATACAATGGAACACTACTCAGCCATAAAAAAAGACAAAGTTGTCCCATTTGCAACAACATGGATAGAGCTTGAGGGTATTATGCTAAGTGAAATAAGCCAGACAGAGAAAGACAAACACCACATGATTTCACTCATATGTGGAAGATAAACTAACACACGGACAGAGAGAACAGTCTAGTGGTTACCAGAGGGGAAGGGGGGTGAGCATAAAGGGTAAAGGGGCACATTTATATAGTGACTGACAAATAATAATGTACAACTGAAATTTCACAATGTTATAAACTATTATGACCTCAATAAAATGATAAAAAAATGTTTCATTTCCCTTCAAAGAATCTAATGTCACTTTCTCAGGAAGGCCTTCTTTGACCATCTGATTTTTTTTTAACAGCTTTATTCAGATATAATTCCATAACATACAATTCACCCATCTAAAGAATGCAACTAAATATTTTTTAGTATATTCACAGAGTTGTGCACCCATCACCACAATCTAATTTTAGAACATTTTGTCACCCCAAAAGGAAACTCTGTAACCATCAGCAGTTACTTCCCATTCCTCCCCCATCAATCCCAGCCCTAGACAACCATTAATCTAATTCCTAATTTCCCTATTCTGGACATTTCATATAAAGGGAACGATATGTGTGGTCTTCTGTGACTAGCTTTTTTCACTTAACATAATGTTTTCAAGATTTATCCATGTCGTAGTATAAATCAGTACTTGATTCCTTTTTATTGCTGAATAATATTCCATTGTATGAGTATACCACATTTTATTTATCCATTGATGGACATTTGAGTTGTTTCCATCCTTTAGTTATTTTGAATAATGTTGCTATGAATGTTCATGTATAAGTTTTTGTGTGGATGTTTGTTGTCATTTCTCTTGGGTATAAACCTAGAAGTGCATCTGCTGAGTTATAGGTAACTCTGTGTTTAGCATTTTGAGGAACTGTCAAACTGTTTTCCAAGGTGGTTGTACCATTTTACATTTCCACCGGCAATGTATGAGTGTTCCAATTTCTCCACATCCTCACTAACACTTATTGTCTCTTTTTTTGATCATAGCAGCCCTAGTGGGTGTGAAGTGGTATGTTGTGGTGGTTTTGATTTGCATTTCCCTAATGACTAATGCTGTTAAGCATCTTTTCATGTATTTATCGGCCATTTGTATATCATCCTTGGAAAAACGTCTATTCAAATCCTTTGCCCATTTTTAAATTGGATTATTTATGTCTTTATTATTGAGTTGCAGGAGTTGTTTATATATTCTGGATATGAGTCCCTTATTAGATACATGATTTGCAAATATTTTCTCCTATCCTGTGGGCTATCTTTCCACTTTCTTGATAGTATAATTTGTGGCACAAGTTTTTAATTTTGATGAAGTCCAATTTATCAATTTTTTCTTTTGTAACTTGTACTCTTGACGTCATATCTAAAAAGGCTTTGTCTAACTCAAGGTCATGAAGATTAACTCATGTTTTCTTTTAAAAGTTTATACTTCTAGCTCTTACATGTAGGTCTATAATCTGAGTTAATTTTCATGTATGGTGTGATGTAGGAGGCCAACTTCATTCCTTCACATGTGGATAATCAGTGGTCCCGCATCATTTGTTGAAAATACTATTCTTTTTCTTTCCCCTTTTGGATTTAATTGTCATGGCACCCTTGTTGAAATCAATTGAGTGTAATTTTAAGGGTTTATTTCTGGACTCTCAATTCTATTCCATTGATCTATGTGTCCTTCTTATGCAAGTACCACACCATCTGGGTCATTGTATATTTATGGTAAGTTTTGAATTTGGGAAGTATGAGCCTTCCAACTTTGTTCTTCCTTTTCAAGACTGTTTCGGCTATTCTGGTCCTTTGCATTTCCAAATGAATTTTAGGATCTGCTTGTTAATTTTGTAGAAAAATTCAGCTGTAGATCAATTTTGGGGCATTGCCATCTTATCCATATAAAGTCTTGCAATCCATGAAAATGGGATGTCTTTCCATTTGTTTAGGTCTTTAATTTCTTTCAACAATGTTTTGTAGTTTTCAGCATACGTCTTGCTCTTCTTTTGTTAAATTTATTCCTAAGTATTTTATTCTTTTTGATGCTATTGTAAATGGGTTTGTTCTCTTAATTTCATTTTCAGATTATACATTGTTAGTGTCCAGAAATACAATTAATTTTTATATATTTATATATTTATATTTTATATAATTTTTATAAATTGATCTTGTGTTCTATAATCTTGTTGAATTGTTTATTGGTTCTAATAGCTTTTTAGTGGATTCCTAAGGATTTTATATATACATGTCATGTGCAAACAGAGAGAGAGTTTTACTTCTTTTTTTCCAATTTGGAAATTCCTCTATTTCTTTGTCTTCTTTCCTTCCTTCTGTTCCTTTCTTTTCCTTCTTTTTATTTTTCAAAATTGTGGTAAAATATACTTAACATAAAATGTACCATCTTAACCATTTTTAAGTGTATGCTTCAGTAACATTAAGTACCTTCCTATTGTTGTGCAATCGTCACCACCATCCATCTTCAGAACTCTTTTCATCTTGCAAAACTGAAACTCTGTACCCATTAAACAGTAACTCCCCATTCCCTCTTCCTCCCAGCACTCGCAACCACCCTTCTACTTTCCGTCTCTATGAATTTGATTACTGGAGGTGCCTCATGTAAGAGGAATCATACTGTATTCATCTTTTTGTGACTGGCTTATTTCACTTAGGGTCATGACTTCAAAGTTCCTCCATGTTGTAGCATATCAGAACTAACTTCCTTTTTTTTTTTTTTTGCTGAGGAAGATTCACCCTGAGCTAACACCTGTGCCAATCTTCCTCTATTTTGTACGTGGGTTGCTGCCACAGCATGGCTGCCAGCAAGTGGTGTAGGTCCGCACCTGGGAACCAAACCCGGGCCACTGAAGCAGAGTGTGCTGAACTTAACCACTAGCCCATGGGGCCGGCCAAGAACTTCCTTCCTTTTTAAGGCTGAATAATATTCCATTGTACATATATACCACATTTTGTTTATCTAGTCATCCATCAATAGACATTTGGATTGCTTCCACCTTTTGGATACTGTGAATAACGCTGCTGTGAACATGAGTGTAACATCTCTTCCAGTCGCTGCTTTCAATTGTTTTGGGTATATATCCAAAGTTGGAATTGCTGGATCAAAAGATAATTCTGTTTTTAATATTATGAAAAACTTCCATACTGTTGTCCACAGTGGCTGCACCGTTTTAAATTCCCAGGAACAGTGCACAGGTGTTCCTAATAGTCCCACATCCTCACCAACATTTCTTTCCTTTTCTTTTTTTTTTTTGACAGTAGCCATCCTAATGGAGGTGAGGTGGTCTCACTGTGGTTTTGATTTTCATTTCCCTAATAATCAGTGATGTGAGCATCTTTTCACGTGCTTTTTTGGCCATTTGTATACCTTCTCTGGAGAAATGTCTATTCAAGTCCTTTGCCCATTTTTTTCAGCTTGTTTGGTTTTTTGCTGTTGAGTGCCTGGAGTTCTCTATATATTCTGGATATTAACCTATTATCATATATGTGATTTGAAAATATTTTCTCTTATTCTATGGGCTGCCTTTTTACTTTGTTGGTAGTGTCACAAAAGTTCCAAATTTTGAAGTCTAATTTGTCTATTTTTCCTTTTGTTGCCTGTGCCTTTGGTGTCATAGCCAAGAAGTCATTGTCAAGTCCAACGTCATGAAGCTTTTTTCCTGTTTTTACTTTTAAGAATTTTATAGTTTTAGGTCTTACAATTAGGTCTTTGATCCATTTTGAGATAATTTTGGAATATGGTATAAGGTAAGGGTCTAATTCCATTCTTTTACATGTGGACACCCAGTTTTCCCAGCACCATTTGTTGAAAATATCTCTCTTTCTTTTTTTTTTTGCCTAATTTCCTTGGCTAATACTTCCATTGCAATGTTGAGTCAAAGTAGCAGAGTGGACAGCCTTGTGTTGTTCCTGATCAGGGGGAAAGTACTCAATCTTTCACCATTAAATACGATGTTAGCTGTGGTTGTTTCATAGGTGACTTTCATCAGGCTGAGGAATTTCACTTCTATTCTTAATTTGTTGAGTTGGACATTGCTTACCACCATGCCTAACAAATTTTAGGTCCTATTATTATTATTATTAATCTGGATGTGAAATCACTTGACGTACAACAGGCAGTCAATCGGCAATAGATAATATTATAATTAGATAGTGGCAGCAAAGGAGAGAATGAAGAGCATGGGCTCTGGATCCAGATTCACTGCTCACTAGCTCTGTCCCTTGACGAGTCCATTTCCCTCGCTGCACCCCTGTTTTCTCCTCTGTAGAATGAATGCTATACCAGTGTCTGCCTTACAAGCTCGTGGTAAGTGCTTTATTAGCATTTGTTAAATAAAAGAACTAACTAACATATGAAAGTGGCCAGTCCACAGCAGGTGCTCAGTGATGGTGATTGCTAATATTGTCATCATGTAACAGGATGTTGGTTTCTCCTGTGGCCACGACAAAACCCCAAAGACCCCATGTTCTAAGTTCCAGAAGCTCCCAGCAGTTGGGACCAGATATCAACCTATAGGACTTATGAGAGAGATGCCAGCTCAAGAGGCCTTACCACCTACCACCCTATCCACTGCCCTCCCTGAGACTGTAAGAAGAGGACTGAAGGGGACGAGGTCATCAACAGTCATGGAAGTGCCACGTTTCTAGAGAAGGCACTGGGGGAGTGTTGGTGAGGTGAGTGCATGTGTGTGTGTGTGGGGGGGAGAGGGTGTTTACAACAATCAATGTTAAAGTTTGGGGGTGTCTGCAACAAGGAAGAGCTGGCTGGCAAAGACTGGGGGTGCCTACAGGAAGGGGAAGTTGGCATTTCCTCCCTGTGGGAGGTCTGCTATCCTGTCTTGCTTTCTGAACCGAGTATTACCAGAGCAGGGAGGAGAGAATTGACCGGAGACCGCAGGTGGAAGACCGCTCTGCCCCCAGCCTTTGAGTTGGGGCACAGAGTAGAGATGAGTGTGGGGCCCACAGCCTTGTAAATCCCCTGCACAGCCTGGGGGCAAAGATTACCATGAACCAGAGGGAAGCTGTGTGGCTGCCAGTGGGGTGGGAGGAGATCCACTGAAAGAGGGGGCCAAATGTCTCAAGAAATCAGCAGCGCCTGGGGAGCAAGCAGCACAGGAGCGAGTCCTGATGGCAGCAGGCTGTAATGGAGCCACCGTCTGTCCTTGTCAAGCATGAGAGTAAACTAGGGCAGCAGCACCGCCTGCCTAGGGACATGGAATCCTCGCCCAGTGAAGTCAAAGGCATTTGCTCTCTTCTCTCCTCCTCCTCAGCCCAACACACCAGAAGACTTAGACCAGTGTTCTCAACATGGGCTGCAGTTGGAATCGCCTGGGGAGCTTTTAAAAGTCCCGATGCCTGGTCACTCTCTATAGGGAGTTAGTGGGGCAGTCTGGGCTGCTGTGGCAGATTAAAAGCGGCCATAATACTCTCTTTGCAACTCCTCCCGTCAAGAGGTGGAGTCTGCTTCCCACCTCTTGAATCTAAGGTGGCCTCAGAAATTGCTGTGATTAATAGAATGAGGCAGAAGTGACGTGGTACAAACTCTGAGTGAGGCCTCGAGAGTCCTCGCAGCTTCAATTCTCACCCTCTGGGAATGCTGCCGCCACGTGGACAAGCCAGGGCAGGAGCATGAGAGGCTAAGTGGGGAGAGGGGCCCAGCCAACCCAGCAGCCCCATCTGAGGCCCCAGACATATTCGAGATCCCAGCCAACGCGATGTGGAGGGGATGAGCCATCCCAGCTGACCACAGCCCAAATTGCTGCCCCACAAGATCCTGAGCAGATAAATAATTGTAACAATCTATATAACTAAAACAGCGCCCCAGGGGACTCCAGTGTGCAAGCTGGGCTGCAAACCACTGCGCCACAGAGCAGACAACGGCGGGGTGGAGGCGTCCAGAGCAGACTGTGCCCATCTACACAGCAACCTTCTGGGGTCTCTGCCTTGTGCTCCGGGGAGGGGAGGAGACAAGCTCTGATTCAGGTTTGAACTTGAAGTCTTCATTACTCAAATAACATTGTTTTAACAAGTAGAAATGGCTGAAAACATATGGATCAGATCAGGGCATTGCTAAGGGACCTGCTATTCCTTGGGAAAGGGTGACCTTTAAAGTCCGTAGCTGGAGGTAGCTACTAGAAAAAACACACGTGTTTTGTTTTTGTATCCAAACAAGCACACGCTCCTCAATAAACCAGTGACTAAAACTTAGTGACCATGGCATAGTGACCTTAGACGGGTGACAAATAGGAGTTGCTATTATTATTATCTGGAACTGTGTCTAGTGCTATGTTTACTAGGTGTTCAATAAATATTACCCGCTACTATCATCACTATTACTAGTAGCAATTATTATTATCATATGTGATCACACCTAATACAGCGCCTGGCACATGGTAAGTGTTCAGGAAATGTAGCTGTTATTATGGGGAAATCTTCTCCTTAGCAAACGGGGGAAGCTATTCGTACAAGCTGGAGGCACTTGGCTAGAGGAAGCTGTCACCATCCTGACACGCGGGACAGGGCCTGGCCCCGGCGGCTGCCCCTCCGCAGCTGGGGAGGCCGGTAGAGGCCGCATATTGCCCTTACCTTCCGGATACTTGTAGAGGCCCGTGATGTCCACGCGGGAGTCGCTGCCCACCGCCTTGGTGGAGGTGCACCTCCCGATCTTTGTGTCGGAGTACACGCGCTCCCGGCTCTCATCCTCATTCCAGAGCCACGCGGCGTAGTCCGCGTTGACCTCCGAGAACACAAAGGGGCCGTCGTGGGCCAGGTGCACGTCGCCCTCGCGGATGGCGGCGACCGAGGCCGGGCCGCAGCGGAACACGCCTGGGCAGGAGGGGGGCGTGAGCAGCGAGGGTGGGGAGAAGCGGGGGCCGCGACTCGCCCGGCTGAGCCCGTACCTTCGCTCTCCTCCTGCGGCGTGGCGTCCAGAACCTGCCAGCCGTTGTAAAAGGGGCCCAGGTCCCGCCGGGCAAACCAGCTCTCGTTCCAGACGTGGAAATTCCTGCCACAGGGAGAGGACGGGGCAGCGTGGCCACAGTGAGCACAGAGGCCCTGGGAGGGGAGGTTCCTACTGTCAGCCGGACCCTGGGTGGTGCTCTGGGGCTGAGTCTTGTGAACCACTCATTCAACTGGGTTGATGAGCAGATATCGTTTATATGTGTATGTATATGTGTATGTATATGTGTATATATACATATACGCGTGGATATGCACGTGTGTGTATATATATCAAGAACCTGTTATTCCCGCCGGCCTGTGGCTTAGCAGTTAAGTGCGCGCGCTCCGCTGCTGGCGGCCTGGGTTCGGATCCCTGGGGCGCACGGACGCTCGCTTCCCAGCCATGCTGAGGCCGCATTCCACATACAGCAACTAGAAGGATGTGCAGCTATGACATACAACTATCTACTGGGGCTTTGGGGGAAAAAATAAATAAATAAATAAAATTACAAAAAAAAAAAAAAGAACCTGTTATTCAAGGTGCCAGGAATACAACTACAAGTAAGACAGAAGATCCTTGCCCTCACACAGCTGACATTCTAACAAAGATGACAGATTGGAAGACAGGGAAATTTAAGTAAGCAGATTAAAAAAAAATGGAAGTAACATAAATGCTGTGAACAAAGAGAGGGGCTTGAGATAGAGGATAACTGCTGGAGACCTACTCTAGGTGAACGACATCTAAGATGAGACTTAAAGGGAAAGAATTAGCCATAGGAAGAGTGAGGGGAACAGTGTCCAGGCAGAAGGAACAGCATGTACAAAGGCTCTTGAGACAAGAAAAAGCTTAGTGTGTTCGAGGAACAGAAAGTACGTAAGTATCTCTGGGCTACAGCAAACATGGGGGTAGGTAGGGTTCAGATCTTGCAGACTTCTGTGGGCCTTGGAAAGGAGTTTGGGCTTTATTTGAAGTTTCCTGTGTGAAAGATGAGAAGGAGACTAGGAAAAGTGACATCATTTGCACAAGGTCACACGGTAAGGAAGCAGCAGAGACCCCTGGTTTGCCTGACTTGGCATCTTTACGCTGGCCTCAGAACTCCTCTCACGGAGGTAACAGTCTTGGTGGGGAAAATATCTGGATAGGCATTTGAGGGTAAAAGTGAGGACACTGAGAGCCTGCATGGTAACAGAGGTCCCAATGTCAAAAAGAAGTGTCTGTGCATTCTGCAGGAGGAAAGGGGAAGAAGGTAAGTGTTTTGGTGCTCCTGCAGGGAGGGGGAGTGGAGAGGACCAAAAAGCGGAGAAGGAAAGGGGAGAGGAGAGGCAGACGATGGTAAGAGGCTGGAGACCAGCTGGGGGAAGGGCTCCTGGACGTGTTCCCCTGGGGGTGGCTGAGGACATTCTAAGGATGGGGACGCTGAGGCCGTCTGTGTTTCTGCATTGTATGATCTTCGCCATTTTCCCTACTGTTTAGAAAGTTGGCTTTGTGTGACAACTCACACACATATGAACAGACATTTGGGCAGGGTTATTCACTGAAGCCTTGTTTGTAAAAGCAAATGTCTGGTCCAGCCATGTGAGCTGGTTAGGTAAACGATGGTCTTTCCATACAATTGAGAGGCAGGCCAGGTTCATACCCCTGCTCTACTACTCGCTAGCTGTGTGGCCTTAGACAAGTTAACTAACTTCTCTGTGCCTCAGTCTCCTCATCGGCAAAATAGAGATAATAATACTAACTTGCTCACGAGGTTGTTTGCAGGGATACACAAGTTGATATATGCACAGCGCTTAGAGCCGGGCCTGGCACAGACTAGGTGCTCCGTAAGCGTGCTGTTATTATTTTTTTAAACACTACAAAAAATAAGGACACCTTGTATGTACTGATATGGAATTGTTAAATGTATGAGCAAGATGAACGGGATTACATTACGCTGCCAACAGTAAGTGGGTAAAAAGTGGGGGTGCGAGGGGACGATGTATGTGCATGTTCTCGTATCTGCAGAGCCACTCTCTGAAAGCAGGTGTAAGAAACTCGGCCTTGTGTTGCCTCCAGGAGGAGGATGGCGAGGCTGGAACTGGGAAGGAGCGAGACTTAACACTGTACCTCATTTTGTACCTTTTGAATATTACGGCATATAACTGTATTTCCTATTTTAAAAAATTAAATTAATTTTTTAAAGCTTTGTGCAAAGAATTTTGTTTGAGCTGGGAAAGGAGGTTGTTTCCCACCCAAGACACTCAGCAGGGCACACAGGCAGCTGATGGAGAAGCAGGAGCGTGATATAGAGGTAACTATGTGGGGGGAGTCTCGGCACCCCACCCAGTCACAGGAAGCTTACGGAGGGCTCAGAGTCCCAAGAGGGGAGAGGTGGGGGTCCAAGGCAGTCAAATCTTGAGTCCCTCTCGTGACCTCTGAGTCACGTGTCCAAAGACCCATGCATCTCAGAAGAGGAGCCACCCTGCCTAGGACCAACCCTTCCACAGAGTGCCTCTCAGTTCCTCCAGAACAGGCTCAGACTCAGGAGAGCCAGGTTCCAGATCTGGGTCTGCCTCAGAGAGCCCCTGGGACCCAGCAGGCCTAGGACCCACCACATGCTGTCTTTCGTCAGGTCCTCCAGGGTCCGCCCGAATGAGTCCACGTATTTGTCCACACTCAGGCTTCCGTCCGTGTTGTGGGCCGAGTTAAAGTTGGACACAACCCGTGTTGCGATCCCCAAGCACCTGAGGACTGAAGAGCAGGAGGCTCGTGAGCCTCTAGGAGTGGGCAGGACCCTAGACTCAGGGAGGGCTCTGGTCTCCTCCCGCAGGCTGCCTGCCTCATTTCCAGCCACAGCCCCTCCCTGTCTTTGTCTGTCTATCTTGCCTGGGCTGAGACTCCTGTCTCCACTCTCAGAAACACCTCCATCCCCTGAACATCCCCTCAGGGGACTTCTGGGGACACTACTACCACCTCCATTTGAATAGACAGGCTCTGAGGCTGGCGGGAAGCTATGTGATAGCCATGTAACAGCCAGTTCATTTTCCTGAGGGGACCAGATGCCCGGGGGGCCACAGGACTTCCCCCAAGGGCACTCAGTGAGCTCAAGACAGAGGGAGATGGGACTCCTTCTGCAAAATAAAAGATCAAAAGTCATGTAAATGTGCAGTCTGGTTTCTCTTTTCATTAACCAGACTTCTGTTTCCCCATGACCAATAAAGACTGTGTGTGTCTATGTAAATATATGCAAATAAATGCAAATGAGGGACCCACTGGGGGTTGGGCACATTTTTCCCTGGGTACCTGGGCACATGACTCCAGCGAAGACCCAGCACTGGCCGTACTTGACTGGCTTGCACCTGCCCTTGAACCACTGGTGCAGAATGGCCACACTGCCGCGCCAGAGCAGCGGGCTGGTGCCGCCGCCGTACCTGCGCCGCCACTGGCCTTGGACGACGCCCTGGTCGTTGTTGCTGTTCACCTGGGCAGAGGGGGCCACGGTCCAGCACCAGGCGGGGCTTCCCTCTTCAGGAGCCTCGCCATCGGAAAATCGTCTCCAACTTTGGACCGGCTAATCATCTGGGACTACCTCTTGCTTTTAAGTGGTCTGAAAATTGGGGCCATTTGCTTCTTCAAATACCTACTTTTTGGTACCATTTATCATTTTCAATTACCTTCCCTTGGGATACTCAGTTGTTGAAAATCATCTATGGTTTTAGAGCATTTCCTGTTTTAAATGATCTGTTTTGGGGACTGCAGGTGTTGTACCAGTTATAGAGACAGCTAACGTTCGTTAAATGCCGCCTGCGCTGGGCACTGTTCTAAGGGCTTTGTGTATACTATGTTAACCTGTTTAAAGTGGGTTCTCTTATTTTCCCTTTTTTTTCAGATGAGAAAACTGAGATTCAGAGGGGTTAAGGGACTTGCCCAAAACACAGAGCAAGTTATCAAAAGGTGTGGGTGACCCCCAAGTTCAGGACTCTGACTGGGAGCCTGTTCTGCTGTCCCACAGGCTGTTATCACTCTACAGTTTGGAACTGGTCACTGCTTTTGATTCTCTGTGCTCCGATATATCTCTGAGGTCTCGAGGAGCGGAGAGTATCAAATACGAGAAGAACAGCTTTGTCCATTTTTTGGAATCACAGATACCAACCCACCTATCTTAACACCTGCTTGCTATAGAGAGAGCTAGTAGGCCTTCTGGCTACCTTTTGAGGAGGAAGCACTAAGGTGTGTAATAGATTAAAGATGGCACTCCTCTTGTGGAGAAGTGGGTCTGTGTACCTCTCCCTAAATCCGGGCTGGCTCGTGACTGCTTAGACCAACGACTGTGGGGGAAGTGGTACGTTGCCAGTTTCCAGGCCCAGACCTTACGAGACTGGCAGCTTCCACTTGCTCTTTCTGGACTGACTGGGGAGAAGCCAGCTGCCATGTCTGATCACCCTGAGACTGCCATGCTCTGAGGGAGCCCAAGCAACCATGTGAAAAGGCTGCAGGAAGAGAGAGAGCAATGACTGGCCAGCCCCAGCTGTTCCAACCATCCCAGCCCAGGAGCCAGACATGAGAGTGAGCAAGCCATCTTGACATTCCAGCTCTAGCAGACATGGCATGGGAGAGAACCAAGGAACCATTGACTGCCAGGACCAAGGCCCCAGATATATGGTCCCGTCAAACCACCCCAGACATCTGCAGCCATTCAGACACCCCCTGTGGAAGCATCTTGGAGCAGAGACAAGCCATCCTCATGGTGCTCTGCTCAAGTCCCTGATCTGCAAAATTATAAGCATAATAAATGGTTGCTTTACACCACTGAGTTTTGGGGTGGTTTGTTATGCAGAAATACAGAATTAAAACAAGAGATGACTTGGCAAAAAATCATAGGGCATGGCCCTGGTGTTGGCCTGGGGATCCACGAGGGAGTGTGTACGCAGGAATGGTGGGGCTCCTCACCATGGCGCTGACGGCCCTGGTGACATAGACGGGGTCGTGGCGGCGGGACATGTCGGTGGCTGGGTCATCTTGGTGACTGGGGCTTCGGTCCAGGATGGAGAGGCAGATGTTCAGGATGTCCTCCTCAAACTGTCCCCAGAGAGGCTGTACTTAGAGGCCAGAGTGTCACCCATATTCCAGACCGTCCCACCACCCTCACCCCGTCAGTCCCTTGTGTCATGCAGGGGAGTTTGCCTACACCTGCCCCCCAACTCCCAGGGACACCACAGAGCATCCCCAAGTCTCAGAAACCCTTCCTCAAGAGTCACCCAGGAACCAGAAGCTCATCCTTAATCACATCCCTCCCCTGTTCACTAGTCCCCCATGGCTCCGCACTACCCACAGTAGAGATTGTGGAAAACCAGAGCCACATCCACCCCATGGTATACTCGTTTGGTTTACATGATTTTTTTCAAATACATTCAAATTAGTTGACAACACTTAAAAACTAGGGGAGTTTTACATACAAATTAAGATATTTGGAAGGTCTGGGAGCCACATGGCAACAAGAGGTGGGTGCTGAGAAGCGGTTACCTCTTAGATGGGCCCTAAATCCTCCAGTGTGTCATCCCTGCACAGCCCCTGAGCCACAAATGCTTCTCACCCCCAGCTCCTCAGCCTGACAGTCAAGGTCCTTAACCCACCTGGCAGACCTTCTTCTGGCTGCGCCCCTGTGGCCCAGGCAGACAGAACTCCTCTAGCAGAACCTCAGCTACTCCCTGACTGCCTGCCTCCACACTGCTCTGTCTGCACTTCCTGCTGCCTGTCCAGATCCTGCCCAACTCTGGACACCCAGCCCCAATATCATGAAGCCCCCGCAATCCCGGAGGTGGGGTTTCCTTTCACTCTCTTCTGAGCTCCCTCTGCTGCCGCCTCTACCACTCTGACTTTCCTCCTCCCATCGCACCTGTACTGTGACTATGTATCTAAGCCAGTGGCTCTCACGGTGTGGTCTGTGGACCAGCAGCATCAGCGTCACCTGGGGGCTTGTCAGAAATGCAGATTCTCAGGCGCCACCCCAGACCCACTGAATCAGCCACTCTGGGGGTGGGGCCCAGCTATCTGTGTTTTTACGAGCTTTCCATGGGATTCCGGTTCACACTCAAGACTGAGAACCCCTGATCTAAGCTATTTACCCTTTCACGACAGAACCCACCTGCTCTGTTTCCAAACTATATCTAAAGCACCTCCCTCCCATGGACCCAGCACAGGCCCTGGCACGACTAACAGGAGGTGAGTGAATGAATGGGTCTGCTCTAAGAGTCAGCCCAGCCAGTCCCTCCTGGGAAGAAGCGAGCAGATGGAAGGGCTCCCGAGCTGACTTTTCCCATGCCCCAGCCCGCGTCCCCCTTCTGGCCTGTGCCTCTGGAGACCTGCCCGAAGTTCCAGCCTTGGGCTTGGATGTGCTTCTCCACGCCTCGGAAGATGATCCCACTGTCGCTGAGCACGTACTCCTGTCTCTCCTCCTCCAAGGCCAGAAACACGTCGTCCTCTGAAAAGTAGTTGTCAGGCCCAGTGTGGGCTGGGGCTCTGGCCTTGCCGGCCTGGGGAAGGGGCTGCATCAGGGATCAGCTGCAGGATGGTGCCTGGAGTCTGCCAAGGGCAGGAGGGGGCAAGAGGGGCTTGCTGGGCTCCCAGGCTGCCTCCTGGCCAAGCCCCATTCCACCTGGTGGTCTTTCCCCAGACAGGGACCGACCCCAAGCCCAAGACTGAGGGATTTTAGGTGTCCTGACACTAGGGGTAACTCTACTTGATGCCAACAGCAGCCTCATATTTCTTAAATATTAATAAGAATACCAACCCAGGCTACTGCTCACTTCCTTACCCCTTAATAAGAGTACTGACCCTAGGACCCCTTGAGATGTGCCTTGTACATTACAAGCATAAGTGCTATGAATTCTCGCCATAACCCTAAGAGGTAGGCACATTATTATCCCCACATTACAGACAAGAGAACGGACTGATAGAGGGAAGCAACTTAGCAGAGCTGAGACTTAACCAAGGCTGTCTGATGGCTAAAGCCCGGCTCTTAGCCACTCCTGGGCCTCTCCTGCCGTCAGGCTCCATCCCTGCCCCCTGGCCTCCGCACACCAGAACCCACTGATTCCTGCCTCTCTGTCACAGGCTCCTTTGTAGCACCTGCTACCAGGCTCCTCAGCTCAGTGCCCACCTCCGCCTAGGCCCGGCTCTCGCCAAGCTCTTGGCATTCACCTCCCTGTCCCTTAACCTGCCTCCCAGGCTCCATCTAAGGGCAGGCCCTCCTGTAGGACTGCTTTTGGGAAAACCTCTGCCTTGGACTTGGCAGCTCCTACCTGGGCACCATGGGTTGAACAGGAGAACGAACTTGCCCAGCTTCCAGTCACTGCGTTTGTGGCGAGAGGAAACCCTGGCGCTCAGTAGGTAGCGGCCAATGACGGCACTGGGCGGGCTGGCGAGGCTGGTGGTCAGGGTGTTCTCCATCTGAGCCTCCTTCACTGCTGACCAGGCATTGCCTACCTCCAGCTCCGACGTCGATGTCTGGAACACAGCTTTGGTGCGGAGGGCCTCAGAAGGCTGGGGTCCTGGAGGACGGGAGAGGGAATCAGGAGACCTAGCCGCCCTAGGAAACCTAAGCGTACAGAAGTGAAAAAGCTACAGGCCTGGAAGGCCAGCCTTCACCCCCTGAAGGGGGGTGACTCCCACTCACTCTGGATCATGGAGAAAGTGACAGGACCCTTTGAAACCATAAGTCTGCCTTATGTATGGCCAGGAAAGAAAAGCCTGGGGTCCAAAAGTGCCTAATGAATTTCCATACTCTTCCAGAGCCATAGATTCCTCGGTATGCTTAGCATTCCAGAATTGTCATCTCATCTGTCCCATTGCCTGCTGGCAGCACCTTCCAACCATCCTCAGAAAGCTGTCATCAAAAGCCTCCAGGGTTCAGGGCTCAGCCCACCTACAGGGTCTTGCTTCCCCTGAAGTCTGCGCTGATGACCACAGGACCTCAGGTCACTGGTGACAAGGCATCTTTCTGACTGAAGACCAGCGGAGGGCGCTGGCGAGCCAGTTACCTGTCTCCACAGTGAAGATGAAGGTCTCCTCACTGTCCAGGGATCTGTTCAGCTCCAGCGTGATGGTGAACATCTGGCCCCTGCGAACCACCAGCTCGGGGCTGGGGTACTCCTGGGTGTGGTGGGCAGCACCATTCCTCAGCCGCTGCCAGTCCACCTCGATGACTCTGATCCCTGAGCAGAGAGAGGACAGGGAGATGAGGCCAAGCCCTCGGCTCACTTCTCATCCACGCCTGGCTGCCCTCCCACCTGCTTCAGCCTGCTGGTCGTTTGCTCATGCAGCCCCTGTTTACCCCTTACAGTGGATTCTGGTTATTCGTGGTGGTTATGTTCTATACAGTCTCTGTGAACACTGAATTAGCGAATACTGAACCAGTGCTTCGAGGGGAAATACAGGGCTGGCTTCCTACGAGCCTCTGGTCACACCATTTTCATCAACAGATCAATACGTAACCTTGTTTTATGTGTGTTTCTGCTTAAAGACACCTAATTTAATGTACTGTTGGTTCATTTACACTGAACTTATGGACAACAGCACTACAAGTCATGCCTGAATGAAGCTTATCTGACACACGTTTTCTCCGTAAGGCACATCACGGCCTTCCTGTGGTTAGGAACAGTGGACAGCACTTCAGCACTGTGCTTGGGGCCATTTTAAACAGCAAAATCACCAAAAAACAGGACAAAAATGCAAAAAACATGGCATTAAAGGGACTGGGAGAGGACACGTTTACAATCTGAGAGCAGAAGCAAGAAAGCAGAGTGTCACCTTGCTCGACTTCCGTTGGGAGCATGCGTGTTAGGCGACTCTATTTTTCACCTGTCTGTACCTGACTGCTAATGACCACAAAAGTGCCAAGAGTATTGATTTGGAGTTTAAAATAAATTTTAGCAAGTAGGCCAATTTGCAAACACAGAATCTGTGAATACTGAGATCGACTATATACTCTCTGTACCAGGCTGGTGTCTGGCCCTGGGATATACTGGTGAACAAGACAGATGTGGGCTGGCCCTGAAGAGACACACAGTGAGGCCAGGTGACTCAGTGGTTCTGAGCTCAGTCTCTCGGGTCAGCTGACGTGGGTTCAAATCCTGACGTGGTCATCTACTGGCTGTCCTTCAGTTTCCCCTTCCAAAGAGCGGGAATAATAACACCTTGTGGACAACTGGCTATCATTTAGAGCCCTTAGAACGTGAGAACCCAGTAAGTGTTAGTTATTATGTTCCAGACGAGCAAGGGTGACACCTAAATAGATGAGGCCACAAATAGCTAATTATCACCTGGATACGTGCTGTCAAAGACAAGTACACGGAGCTGAAGGAGCATATGACAGAGGAGCTGGCCTGGCCTGAAGGGCGACCAGCAGCTTCAGACCAGAGGCGGCATTGAGGCTGAGTCTTGAATTGGATGGGGTGTTGCCAAGGGAGAGGTGGGGGGCATATCCAGCCTCAACAAAGCATCCTCTCCCTCCATCTATTCGGGGTTCATTGTCTCAGGTGTCAGGCATTGTGCTGGGTGCTGCAGACCCAAAGTCCATGAAATACACTGCGGCCCTGCCGCCAGGCTGTTGACCGTCCAGTGGTCGGCATTAAGCAGATATATTTCAAGTGTCTAAGAGCAAGCTTTGAAAAGTTCCCTTAGGAGAGGCATAGGGAGCCCCAGGAGCACGCAACACGGGGCTTGTGCAGCCCTGGACCCTGGCAGGACCCATGGCCGCACAGAGGCAGGAGGGAGCCTGGTGACTTCTAAAAAAGTTTAAGAGAAAGCCGATGCATGGAGAAGGCAATGAAGTTGGAGGATCCGCAGGGCCAGACCACCAAGCTTGGAGGGGGATGAGGAGTCTGACGTTTATCCCAAGGGGCGGGGGGAAGTCAACAGAGTGTTGTCAGCAGGGGCGTGACGGTCAGATCGGCACCTTGGGAAGATGGCCCTGGTGCGGAGTGGAGGATGATTATCGATACCTGATAAGATGCTCCAGGATGTGAAGGAATGCTCTTCCTCACACTGCTTTCTGATCTTGTCACACATCTGCTGCCAAACCCATCTAAACTCTTTTGTCTTGGACAAAGGGCTCCGCAGGATCCCACTGCTGTCTGCCCCGCCCCTCCAGCTCACTGCCCCCTCACAGCTCTGTTACCTTTTGCTCGAGCTGCCTCCCTAGAGCTGTGCCCCCAACCTGCTCACCCCTGAGCACGCCCACCCTGAGCATCACTTTCCTGCCTTGTGTCTCTCCTGAGGCCCCTTCTGGCAGGGTGCCTCAGCTCGACCTCTGAGAAGGCATCTGTGCTCTTGCACCAGAGTTCGTCTCTCCTTTCTTTAAGCAACTGTTAGGTTTGGAATAATAAAAATAACAATAATAAAAGCTTTGCATGTATTCAAATGTTGATGCTTCCTAACAATCCTGTGATCCTGCAGTTTGTTACTAACGTGATCCTGTATCTTGGCTCTATTTTATTTGGTGCCCAGCATACAGGAAGTGCTCAGTAATTGTTGGCTGGCCTATTGGATAGGTTTTATTTAAAGAAACTTCCTATGAACCAAGCGCTTTTCTAAATATTTTCTAAATATTATCTCATTGAATCTTCATAAACCATATGAGGAAGGTACTATTATCCCAACTCCACAGATGAGGAAACTGAGGCCCAGAGTCACACAGCCTGTAAGTGACGGAGTGGGGAGTCTGGCTCCCGAGCCTGTCCTTGTATGGAACCTTTAGGCTATGCTGCCTTACCTTTGACCCCACAGGAGTCAGAAACCCAGAACCCCCAGACTCCAAAACACAACACGGGCTTGGACCATGCACATCAGAGCAGTGGCTTGTCTGGGCCGAGGTCTAGAGACAGCTGTCCGAAATATTTGGCTTTTTAAAGACTCTAGAATTTTCGTAGGTAGGACCTTTTAGTTAAGGGAGTGGCAGACGGTATTTTCCAAAGACGTTGCAATAATATCTCCTATCCCACATACCCTTCTTACAACATGACGTTGATACTCCTCTCATTGAGAAGTGGGATATATATTCCCTCCTTCTGAATTTGGGAGGACTTGTAGCTAAAACAGAGTGAGATTTTGTGACTTCCAAGGCTAGATTATAAAAGTTGATACAGCTTCTGCTTGGTTCCCTTGAGTTGCTTGATCTTGGAATCCAGCTGCCATGCCATGAAGAAGCCTAAATGGCCCATGTGCAGAGGAACCAAGGCCCCCAACCCACAGCCCACCGAGCTCCCAGCTGACAGCCAGCACCAACTTGGCAGCCATGGGAATGAGCCGTTTGGCAAGCGAATCCTCCAGCCCCCAGTCAAGCTGCCTCAGCTGAGACCAAATGAAGCAGAAACAAGCTGTCCCTGCCGAGCTGTGCCCAAATTGCAGGTTCGCGAGTGAGAGAGTGTTGCTGTTGTTTTAAGCCACTAAGTGTTGGGGAGGTTTGTTACACAGCGATAGATGACTGAACCACGGAGGGAGCCCCAGTAATAACTGGGATGGAATTTTCTGACAAGCCCAGTGGGCTCAGGACTCAAAGTTAGATTTAATTTAAATAATATCAGTAAATGTGACACGTCTTTTGCATCCAATTTGGGTTGTCAATTCATACCTGCTAAACTTTTCAACGTGAAACTCTGATATCTGGATAAATCTTTAGGATCCTTCTCCAGTAATAACATTCCGCTCTTCCTTCCAACATGCAAACCCTAACTCAGAGGCTGGGTAAGGCTGTCCCAGATGATGTGAAAGCCGCCCTGCCACCAACTATGATAATAAGAATAATATGATGAATAGCTAATGTATAATACTTACCATGAGTCTCACACTGTCCCCTCTGCTCCCTATTTTACAGATGAGGAACCTGAGGCACAGAGAGGTTAAGCAACCTGACGAAGGTCACACAGCTAGTAATGGCGGTACCAACATTCTATGCTATCCTGCCTTTCTGATGATTATGGGCTAAGACTACAAATCTTGAGTCGTCGGGGTGTGGAATGGAGAAAACACAGGCTCTGGAGCCAGATGCTCCTGGACCCTAACCCCAGTTGTGCCATCTCTTGTGTGCCCTTGGACAAGTCCTCTCACCTCCCCGGGTCTCAGTGTCCTCATCTAAAATATAGAGATAATGATAGCACCTATCTCACAGGATTCTTGGGAGGATTCAACTAAAAAGTCTGCCCCTATGTGAAATCCAGAGGTGTGGCATTTGGCAGATAGCAGGCACTCAGCAAATGTCCCTTTCTTTCATCTCTCTGGGGAGGTGGGACACACACTCTGACACCATATACTTCTGCCCCCTTTCCTGCTTACCTCTGCCTCCTCCCACGGCCAAGGCCAAGTCCTCTGTGCAGGTGGAGCCCTGAGGAAGGCCCTGTAACTCACTCTTCCCAGCCTTCCACCATAGCTGGAATTGGCCCCAGGACTATTCTTCACCAGTGTCTGACGATTACGGACCAGCCACAGTCGGTTGTTAACGGTGGAGATGTAGTCACTCCACCCTGGGAAATAGGGTTGGCTTCCGTGACCCCTTGGGGTGTTTCTCTCCCCCAAGGAAAAGTCTCAGCTCCTCAGCCTGGTTCTTGAGGCCTCCACTTGGAGGCTTGCCCCACTTTCCAATCAGTTACTCACCCACCTTCCCTCTCATCTTCCCATCCCTGGATCCTAGAGGAGCAAATCTGGGAGTCACTTGGACCTGGGTCAGAATCCCAGATATGCCATCGCTTCCTGTGTCCTTCAGCACTACTTAACCTCTCTTGTCCATAAAACAGGTTTGAGAATGGTTTCTCTCAGCGTTGGTAGTGAGACTGAATAAGATGACGTGTGAAAAGCACTTGGCTCCTTAAATGTCCATTTTGTTTTTTCTCCTGTTACATGGTGTGATGGTTAATTTTATGTGTCAACTTGGCTGGGCCATGGTGCTCAGATATTTGGTCAAATATTATTCTGGATGTTTCTGTGAAGGCGTTTTTTGCATGAGATTAATGTTTAAACAGGTGGACTTTAAATAAAGCAGATTACCCTCCACAGCGTGGGTGGGCCTCATGCAATCAGTTGAAGGCCTTAAGAGAACAAGGACTGACCTCCCCTGAGCAAGAAGGAATTCTGCCAGCAGACTGCCTTTGGATTTGAATTGCAACTCTTCTCTGAGTCTCCAACCTGCCATTCTACCCTGCAGATTTTGTACTTGCTAGCC